TTTATTAAGGGAGACCTACTTAGGTGTTGCAAGATTGCAGGAGAAACAACTTGTTTGTGACTTTATAACATTCCTACTCAATTATTTTGTCTGTCAGGTGATAGAAATCCTGTGAAGATTTTCAGTTTCCTCTGGAATCTAAGGTTTTGGTCCCCTACAATGGACTCCTCTCTTCTTCCACCCAACTCAGATGAGCCTACTCAAAACAAATAGTGATCTTCAGGTTTAGGAAAACACTGTGATCCCATTTAAAGTAGATTTTAAAAAAACCCTAGTAACTGCAGAAAGAAAAGAACATACCCTAAGGTAACCACAAAAGCCACCTTCCAGTCTCAAGCACTTTTTCCCCTCAAATGCATTTTATACCTCACTATCTAGCTTTCACTTTTATTTTTCACAGGATACCAACACACTTGGACAAAGCTTGGAAATAACTCTGCTAATCTCTATTTGTGTATTACCCTCCTACACATTTTTTCTCCCTAGTATCCGCATTCCACCCCCTAATGTTTTCTTGATCTCATTCCCACAGCAACACACTCCAACAGGGAACATTACCAGTAACTATTCCATATGCACCCAGCTATGACTTCAGACTTGACAAAGTTTGAGTAAACAGCTTTTAAATTCAGCATCAGTGTCATTCCACTGTTTGAGATTGCCTTGCTTAAGGTAGATACATTAAGAAGAACAATATAATCACCTCAGGAAGTGTTATGTGTGCATTTGGAACTCAGCTGGCAAATTGGCCCCTGGAATGATTAGTATTCAAGTGGCTCCTGATGGGCATCCACCCACAAAGGAGCTCCTTCAAACATCCAGCAAGCTCTACAGTCCCAAATTCTCAAAATTCTTTCCATTTTGTTATTGTTCATTTACTTGTTCTTCATCAAGGTCACGGGGGTGAGAAGAACATGCTAAGTATTATCTTGAAGTCCCAGGTCTAAGAAATGAAGCACATCTAAGACAGACCTATAATGGCCTAACCCCTGATCCTAGACAGTGCTACCAATTAGTAGCACGAGTACAAAAGGTCTTGTACTTAATCATAAACACGTGTATACAATACACAGAGCAGATAATTCATTGCAAGAGACAACCGTAGTTTCACCCTTATGTAAATTATTTCACCAAACTGAGCAAATTCAGACATGTACCCAAGTCCCCAAGCCCACTCTGGGGCTGTGGCTCAGGCATAGAATGCTTGGTTTGAAGCTATTGCTACATTTGCTTTCCCTTCCCACACTGCAACAGGAAGGACTTTCATTTATACTTGAACAAACCTGTGGCTGTGTTTGAGCTGACTCAAACAAACACTTGAAAGAGAAGGAAGAGAGCTCAAATCAGTATTCCAAGCTTGACACCAGACATTTGCCAAAACTGCACCACAGCTGATGTGATTAAAATGATTTGATAAAAACTCAGTTGTGTGCAAGAGAAAAGGTAAATTTCTTGGGTTTTCTGAAAACATCCCTTACTTCCCGAGACAGCCCTGAAAATCATGTAAAAAGACATTTCTCCTGTTCTCCTTAAATTTTTCAACTACATCCACTACACCAAGCAACAGGGAATGGGAAGCTGAAGACACTCAGGAGGAGCGTTTCTGGCACTAAGCTAATCAAAGCTGTTTGGCCCCACCCCTTTCCCCACAAAACCAGCTCTATCTTCAGCCCTGGAGAGCAGCTCCATCTCCGAAACATGTTTTTGTTAGACACACAATCACAATGATAAAAACAAAGGGGGGTTTGCTTGGGTAAAGCAGATCAGAAGCTCCTATTTTGTATGTAAGCATAGAGCTTTAAATATGGTTTACGGGAACAAATTAAATAAAAAATTCTCAGAAACATTACAATTTAATTAAAGGTGAATCTCGAGATGAAGGTTAGTATTTCAAAGGATATGAACATTACATTTACCAAAATTCACATTTGCTCCAATATTCTAATGGCATATTAAGCCATAATAGTTCTTCATGGTAAAATCCTGTGTCAACTGCTGACATCTACTTGTAATGTAAAAAAGTATTTACCCCAGGTTATGGGATTGCTGTCAAGCAACAGTAGGAAAATTGTGTTCAGAAGGAGGGATACCAACTGCAGGCACTCCTTTTTTTATTTATAAGTATTAAATCACATATTTTCCTCTCATTTCATAAAGCAAATTCAGCTCTGTGATGAACAAGAGCAGACTTTCAACTGGCCTGGCAGGAGCCCTTTGCCATGAGTGCTGTGCAGACTCAGGGTAAGATAGATGAGCTATAAAACTCCCTAACTGTCCAGCCAAGTCTCTCCTGCCAGGAGAAGAAACTGTGTGTCATGGCCAGGCAGTTACTGGACACACCGCCTATTCATCATATTCCAAAATATTCCAGTCAGTTGCTGGGCACAGTCTCTATTCACCATATTATATATTAAAAAAAAAAAAAAAAAAAATCCAGCAGAGGCCATTTTTTAAAAAATCTTTTCTTATTGACATTGAATGTACACAGAGAATAACATGGCCATGTTTCTCACCAAATTCAGACAAATATTTTTATCCACAACCAGTTTTAGTAAAAAATTTTTCAATAGAAAAGCATAATTCTGCATGCAAAAACAGAGATATGACAGGATCCTTTCCCAAATCTTGGGTCGCTGTAGATCTGATAACAAAATTCTGTATTAAAAGGCCACCAGTGATCAAGTTATATAGGAGTTCCGAGCTTTAACTAACATCAGTGCTTGAAAATTTACAAAACACTACCTTCTTAGCAGTTAGCATAAACAAACCTTCTCAGCTGTTAAGAGTTACCAGCAATTACCCTACAGAACTTCAAACAGTGATTAAAGAACATATTGGCTGGTAAACAGTTTTCAGCTGCAGATTAACAACATTTTCAACCTGGCTAAACAAGTTAAGAAGAGATGTAATGCAGTATATTACATCAATTGGTAATACATTTAAAGAAAAATGTTATTTCAACTGAAATTCTTCCCAGATTGCACAAATTTTCCTATAATCTCAGAGAAGGAACAGTAAATGCGTACTTTTCAAAAATCTGTGGACTATTTTCAGTAAAACTGGGAGTTGTCTTCTTTTCTGGTATATCCACATTTTTTTCCTCAAATCCAGCGTTTCATGAGCAAATGAGAGCATCTTACGGAAATAGTTAAGACTGTCAATAAAGAACTTTTGTAGCAAGAAAGGCATTGCAATGTGATTTTCTAAGTACTACATTACATGTGAACAGCTGATAAAAGGCCTAAAAATCTCTCTGCAGGGCTCATGCAATGAGCCCTACTGTGAGTTGCGTGTTTCTCAAAACTGAGAAGTGGATGCTGGCAGATGCTTGAAGTCACATAAAGGGAACTTAGATGTCAAGCAGCAGCCAAAATTCACTATACCAAACACTTTATGGTAGGCAACAGGCCTAGACGAGCTGTCAGAACAGCAGAAGTTTTAATTGTGTTGTTTTGTTTGTTTTTATGCTCCTGCTCACAAGGAAAGCAGACGACTTTCAAGACATACTGTTTTTGCCATTCCCTAACCTGGAAAAAACACTATTATCCTACATTCAGTCCCTTCCAACCCTGCTTAAGTACACAGAGTCTTCAAAATGTAGTAACTGTCTATACTGCAATTATACCATCTACATCGATCAACAACATAAAGTCAATTTCTCAACAGCTACATATAAATGCGGAATAATGACAAGGCCTTAAGTGAATAAATTCCCCTCCCTTTGTGAGTCTTTCATATTCACTATAGCCATGACTTCAAACTGATTTGGTTACTGCTGCAAATACTACAATAAATTGCCGCCATCTGCACCTGTTTATCCTGTAGCCGCTGGGTCAGTAATCCAGGTAATCAATTTTTGCAAATAGTATGGAAGCTTCAAAAAATGTTCATGTTAAAAATATACCCACCATGTATTTTGTCCATTGTACTTACAGATAACTTCAGCAGTCTTACCACTGTTTTGATTCACTCCAGTTCCTAGTGAAGTCACCGAGTAATTTTCTTCAAACGTACCTGACTACTTAAGGAAAAATCCTCCTCTGCCTGATCTATAACTGGGGTAGTTTTACTTAGGATTTGAAAAATATATTCTTTAACGTCAGATTTTCTGCTATAAGCAAAATAAAAACAGAGGGGCCTAAAACATAAAAAGAAACAAACCAGCCCTTTTACTACTCCAAACAGATGCTGCTTGTTTATTTTCTTTTCCCCAGCGTCGGCAGCTCCCAGAGCACCGAGGAGGGCGCAGCCCTCCCAAACCGCCGCCACTCTCACCCAGAGAGCTGGAAGTTGACTCCGCACACCTAAGGATGCTCCGACCGGCAAGTGCTGGCCTGCAGGGATTTGCCAGAGGCGCAGATCCCGGCAGTGCCGAGCACCCGGCAGGCACCGGGACGGCAGCGCTGCAGTCCGGCACAGGCACCGGGACGGCAGCGCCGGCGGGCGGGCTGCGGCTCGTCCCTGCGGGAACTGCCCGCGGTGCGTGGCACGGCCAAGGAGGGCGGCGGCGGCCCAGGGTGGTCCCGCAGCCCCGCCAGGAGAAGCGGCCCAGGTGCCGTCGAGGCGGCGCTCCCGGAGCCGTTGAACGGTCGCGCCGCTCCATCTGCCCGCGGTCCCGCCCGGGGCCTCGCCTCCCCCCGCCGCGGAGCCCCGCGAGGGGGCACGGGCGGTACGCCCGCCCCCGGCGCTGGGGAGCCGCCTCTGCCGCTGGCTGCGTCCCAAGCAACGCACCTCAGAGCCGGGCGCGCACCGCCCCGGCCTCCCTGACCCGAGCTGTGCCCTCGCTCTCCCCTCGCCTCACCCAGCCCCGCGCACGACCCCGGCTCCCGCCAGCCGTCCCTCCGCAGCCGGGGCGCCGCGCTCCCGCCGCGCCGTGAGCCGTGCTTACCCGGAGGGTGGCGGGGCGGCCGGCGGCCGGGCGCGGCCGTCCATGCCGGCGGCCAAGGGAGCGCAGGGCGGGCGCAGACCGGGGACCCGCCCGCACAGCGCGGCTCCCCGCCTCACCTGCTCGGGGCGGGCTGAGGAGGGCGGCCCCGCTCCGCAGCCCCCGGCGCCGCCTCGCCCCCGAGCCCGGGCATTTCCCGCTGTTTACGGCGCGGACACTGGGCGCCTGCCCGGGTGCGGTCACGGGCTGCGCCAGGCTCCTGCCGATCGCCGAACCACACCTTGGGCGTAGCGGAAAAAAAAACGCAGAAGCAAGGGAAAAAAAAAAAAATAAAAAAGGCAAACCCGAACTTCGCGGCGAGAAACTTGAAACGCGGAACGTTCCCCGCTCCGGCACGCACGGAGACAGAGATTCCCTGTTCCCGTCCCAGCGCCTCCCTCCCGCCGCCCCCACACACCCGCTGTCCCTCCAGCTGCGGCCGCAGCCGGGACTCCGCTCGGCCTCGGCCGCGGGCTGTCAGCGGCCGGCGGGGGCTGGGCCGCTCCTCTCGCCTGGAATTTTCCTCTCCCCGAGCGAAGCGTCCCGGCGGCCGCCTCAGGCTCAGCCCTTTCCCATTCCAGCCACCAGGGCGCGAGGCGAAATCCCTACAGGTGGGGAGAGCCGGGCGCGGAGCCCGGGGCCGGGATGCGGTGGGACCCCACGGTGGGGGATCAGACTGTTCTGCTGGGCCGAGCTGAGCCCCGGCTGTCACGGGTGACGAGCTCCCGCCGTCAGGAGTGGGCTCAGGCTGAGGTTTGCTCGCTGAGCATGAGGGCAGCTCCGCTTTTCTATGCGGAACAGCTGAGCAGGTCGGGCACTAGCGCGCTGCCTACCTGTGTCAGCACAGAGCGCCGTTCCTGCTGTGCTGGGACCAGACGATATTGGCCAGTACACACAACTCTTTATAAGGTTAATATTTTGCCCAGTGTTTAACAAAAGTTGAAAAATAGCCAACGTCAAAGCATTTATACCTTTCATTTTTTTTTTCTCTGTCGGAAAAAAGAAGAACGTTGCATTGAAGAATAAAATCCTTTTTCTGACTAGTTCTAAGATTATATATATGGAAAAATTAATATAATTGACCATTTGATGTCAACATTCATAATACTCGATGTTAATATTCTTCATAGCTAGTGTAATACTGTATATTGTACAGCATTGTAGAAATGCTGTACTTTAATAACGTTTTGCTTCTCCCTCAGATGCCCTTCTCATCTGCAGTGTGCTTCTTCAACAAAGACTTTTTTCTGCTTTTTCACTGGAGACTAACCCTGAAGCCACCTCTTTTTGACAAACCCCAGAGGTTATTCACACCCTGAATAACCACATGCCATTATCAGGCACACCCTATTAATCTGTGTATGTTTCTTAAACCAAAAAATTAATCACTGGTGAGTCAGATATATTTTCCATGGTCCAGTATTCAGAGAGGCAGGGTTCAATGAACTGATCCATTAAGACTCTCAGGAACAATTTCACTGAGGACCTTAGGTAAGTTTTGGGCCCTTTTCTCTTTTGACAGTCCACTTTCTATTCTCACACTCCTCAAATTGTTTGGCTACATCCTAGGTTAGGATGACGGCTGATAAATTATTTTGTACGTTGACTGTTCCTGCAATCAGGGCACCGTAACTTTCTGCATTTAGTTTGTAGCATTAGTTTAAGTACAAAAGAATTCTCTGCTCTTGAGCAAAACCATAATGTGACAGCACCTTCTAAACTAACGAAACTCCCATGCTGCAAAGGTGTGAAATGATTTAGCAGTATAATGATATTTCAGCTGAAGACCCTGTAGCTGATTGTGTATTACTTAGAATAATTACACATGTTGGTGTCATGTTGCCATCCCTTCTAATAAACTTTGCATCACCACCAATAGATAAGGAGCTTTATAATCTCATTTGAAAACCAATATATGCTATAGTCTAATTCTTTTAGCAATTATTAATGCCACAATGATTGCAATCTATTGAATAGCTCACATGGGCTCATAATAGAAACTCAGCAATGCCAGGCAGAAAAGTGACATTAGGGAAATAACAAAAAAAATTATTAGTGGTGACAATTTCCAATAGAGCCTGGGAGATTATCTAAAACAGCAGTTTACTGAATAGTGCCAATCTCACTTTAGGAGGGGAGAGGTTATGCTTATTGCCTTACACTACCACATGTTTTATCTCAGTTGTTAACTAAGCACATCTGAAATTCTGATCACTAGAAACACTGTAGACTTTAAACTTGAGTGCCTACAGGCCATGTTCTGCAGTGGCAGTTTTACAATAACTAGACTTAAAATAGTTGGGTTTTGAGGTAGTGGAGCTACCATTTTTCTTTGTGGTCTCAGTTTTTTAGAGACAGATTCTGGACTCCTGTGGCACTTTGTTTCTTTATCAATAGACTATCAGTTCTGTGTTCGAGTTTCAAAATATAATGACAGAATCAAATTATCTTTTTAAAATATTTCTGTTTTTATAAAGTTTCCAGCTTTATCCTGAGCTCAAGACACTGTTCATACAAATCAAACATAATTCTCATACACAATAAACAGAAGGCTGCATCAGAGAATACTAAGTTAACACACTGAGCATTGTCTCTTCTACTGAATAGCTAAGGGGTAAAAACCCACTAGAAAACCTTTAAAGTTCCCTAGATATTTCAAGCTGACCCATGAAGATATCATTGTAACAATTAATGAAGTGGTAGGTTATTAATTGCACTGTTGCAATAATGTCATCTTTTGTCCATGCTTTGAGGTAAAACAATCATTTATCTGGAGGCATTAATCCATGTGGCAAGCTGCCACTTGGTGAATATACGCGGTGCTATTGTGTATTTAGTATAAATGTTTGCAGATTAATACCCAGTTCTGATTACTGTTAGCATAACCTTCAAATTTTGTAGGTAGTAAGAACTGCTAATTGCAAATGGTATTTGAAGGAGAACTTCTGAGGTAGAGACATGAAGTTCCAGGTATATTACTATCTATAGGATTTTTATACAAGTTAAATTACTGAAAACAAAGCCTTGCCTGTTCTAAAAAAGCAGCAATATCCCATGGCATTTTTCATAACAGAAGTCGTCCTAGATGGCTTCAGTACTTCTGGTTGCTCTTCTCTGTTCAAGAGATTGCCACAAATGTGAATACAAATAATTTTTGAATGAAAGATGCTGTAGAAATATAGTGGATAGTATGATCTTCAAAGAGGTATGCCCATTATTGCAAAAAGTGAAAGCTTTTTGAATTGTTAAATAGACCACAGGAGCCTTACAATACTTTTCACTATTGTCAAGGTCTGTTTACAAGCTCTTTTTAAATTTCTTAATACATAACAGGTTATAGTGACATTTTGTGATTTAACCTGAATGCACTCCTAATGTAGTTTTGTACATTGAAAATCATACTATGTCACACTATAGTTGTTTTGAATATTATTATGCAAAGTAGGTGTCAAATAGATTATGGAATTGAAGGGTGTTTTCTTTGTTAAATTACTTTTCTGATGCATAATTAAATGCATTAAAAAGCTGAACTACTTATTCTGTACGTTTTATATAGGAGACATGATAAAAATCAGGATTTTACCCTTATACTATAAAGATAAAGCAAGGAATATATGATTCTTCATTTTGTTTAAATGAAAACTAAATCCATATGTAATTCTTTTTCCACAGAATAGTCAATCAGCCTAAGCTGCATCCTGCTGAACAGTTGCTGTTTCTGTGTTTGCATTCCAGAATGTGGGTTAGGTTTTGGGAGCATGCACACACATGTACATAGCTACTGACAGCATTGCTTAGGCACAGGGACAGGCTTGGGAACCCATTTAAACTGTGCACTTAACTGAAGAGGTCATATTTAAGACCTGCATAATGATACTATCATGTACTTTCATTACTACCACTGTGTTTTCACTCTGATAGTATTTCTTGTTTGCCGTTGGATCATGAAAGCAAATGTTTTACTGCTTACAAGTCATGATTTCTAAGTTAATTTGTTGCTGAGCAGTATTTTTGGGGATAACAATTAGTGAGGTATTCATGTGGATTAACGTTGGAATTGAGTAATACTAGAAAGCTTCAGACAATGCTGAGTAATAAGTGATATAAGGTGTAGAATCACATATGCTGTGAAGTATTCTTGCAAAGTTAATTATCTTTTAAAACAGCTTTGTCTAATTCTTTCAAATCATGATAGCCACAGTAGTTGCAATGAAGGATAGATGAGAATTAATTTAAATGTTAATCTTAGCTGGGGTTTAGAAGAAAGTAAAAGTTCATTAAATTGCTCTCGTGCACTAAATTTCCATGTTTTGAATGCACATAGTGTGCAAAATCCTCAATACTGAAGTCTGCAAAGTCTAAACAGTAAAAAATATTTCTGAAGAAAATCACCTCTGGAAAGAAATATCTGTTCAATTGATTAGTAATTCATTAGTTTATGGCTTATTGTATCATATAAAATAACACTACAACAAACATATCTCCTTTTTGTATTAGAAAAATACACTTAGATACAAAGGAAATTGGGGATTTCTTCTACAGAGATAATGTAGCAATAGCTAAGTTGTAAGCAGATGAGTTATTTTAGGTTCTGAAATCTATATTGCTATGGTTGTACTGTGTCAGGAAAACAAGATATATTAGCCAAGGAGAAGCCTTATGCTGCACAAATTTGTATCTCTTGGTACCTAGCCAGCTTGCTCAGAACTAGCCTGGGTAACTCGAAAGCTCTCGTGCTTTCTGGACAGCCCCGGAGGTGCTACATACAGAGTGGAATTGAATGCCGTATGTTAAGATGCTTTGGAAGCATGGAGAGGAGTTAAATGCTTCACTTGGATGATATGAGCTGTGTACTTTGATTAAACAACTGAATTAATGGGGGAGAAGGAAGAGACGTTCCTCCATTGGAATGCTAACAAGAAAGTGAAGCTGTTCTGTGTGCAGTGTGCTTTTGCAGGTGTGCTTTAGGGACGTACAGCTGGAACAGGCCCTGTAATGAGCAGGGACTTTACCTTTATTAATGTTCAGCTCTTTATTAAAAAGATCAGCTCAGCAGGGGGCTGTACACGGAGCTTGTCCCTCCTGTTGTAGCTTTCCCAGTAGCCAAAGGGTGAGAAGGTGTGCAGAGTCTGTCCCTGGAATCTCCATGGCACGCTGGTAGCTGGAGGTGAAGAGGTGTCCAATCTGTATCTGAAGTCCCAGCAGACTGTCACTCTCCTCCTGGCACACTGGTAGCCAAAGGCTGGGGGGATGTGCAGAGTCTGCTGCCAAAATCCAGCAGCAGCTATCCCTCTCCTTCCCTCCTGGTAACACCAGGAAGAGTGTGTTCCTTTGCTTCTGCTTCCCACACCCCAGTCCAGTCTGGTCCTCTGCAGGTTATGCTGACAGGTTAGACAAAGCCTAGGGATGGGGTTCCCTTTTCCCCAACCAGCACATCCATCCAGCCCCCTCCACTGTGCCCAGCTTTCCATTTAGGGGTGTTTTTCATCCCCAAAACCCCCTCCCATGATTCCACTGGTCTCCCTATTTTGCATCCCAGTCCTAGAATGGTAGTGAGGGTGGGGGGGTAGGTGATTCCCAGGAGCAATTAGCTAATTAACATTTCAATGTCAGTACTTAGTTCGAGCCAAGTGTCCCAGCAAGGCTGTTTTGTTCATAACAGGCCCCACAACTGAGCTCCAAAGGGACACATCACATCTGTTTTAAACACAAGATAGTAGTGAGATGTTCAGCACAGACAAATTAAAGATCATTTTCATCACATATGCACACAGAGTGAATTCTAAGG